TTATAATTTCAGTCAAATAACTAACCTGTTAACTAAAGTCAACATGTTTGTTTTTTGTCAATAATGACCTTTTTACCTAAAATACGGCGGAAATGTAGGTATATTTTTTCCCTCAGTAATTTAAGATACGGAAAAATGTTAATAATTTAAAATGAATCAAACTAATAGGTATCAATTTTCAAACAATTAGATATTTATAAAAATAAAAATAAATAAATAAACAGAAAATAATATCAATTAAGATAATGATCCCATTCCATAGTAGTTATCTGTTCCAATTACTCTAGTTCTGTAATTTATTGCCGATTTTATCATTTATCCAGTTAGCATCATCTGCAAATGATTAAATTTGAGAGATAATCATTCAGTTTACCAATGACGTTAGCGAGAAATCAGATGTTTTCGATGTAGTGTTTTGAAACTGATAAATCGATTTGAAAAAAAAAATATTTGAAATTGTTCCGAAAAACTAGGACAGAAAAGTGGGAAAAGGGGTCCCGAAAAACTGGGGAGTGTTTAAAAGTTAATTTAAATATTTTTTAGAAAACAAAAAGTAAATTTTAACATAAACCAGAACAAGACAGGTTTTGTAATACTACAAACACTATGCAGATCTTTATGATGAAATGATTTAAATCCTTCTTGTCCGCATAATAACAACTATAACTTAAAGATACTTAAAAGAAAAACGAAAATATTTTGAGCCGCGGCTTAACTGCCAAGCCAACCAATAAGACAGATGGCAAAGTCCAATATTTCGTTAAATTTCCGACATTAAAAATGACCCAATACTAAAAAAAATTAAACAAATCTATACTAAAGTAGGGATGAGCATACCGTGATTATTAAATGATACTGTTAGCTGATTCCGTGATTTTCTTAATATCGCTGATTCGGATTTAAAAGCGTGTCGTAATCCCTTTTTTTTAATCTTTTATATGGCTATCCTAATGCAGCTTGTTGTGGCATGCCCGGTTATTTTATGCACTAATTAACTTAGTAGCTACTTCCAAAAGTAAAATAAATGAATTATAACAGAATCCGACAGGTACTATGTCAGAGATTGTTCTCAGAGCAAATATACGAGTCTCTCGTTTTACGCGGCATATTTATAGGCGGCTTCACTTATACGGGTTTAGGTTTTTGACATCAGTGACTTATTTTACACTGCTTACTGATACGGTGTTTTATTAATTCCATATTAGATAGCAAGGGTTTATACACTGATAAAAAAGATAGACTTGAACTAAAGTCGTCATAGTTCTTGAAAAAAAAATATTTAGTGGCAAGAGAATTTATTTTAGCGTAAAAGAAAATATTTTGCCCGAAGAAAAACTCTCTTAAATCAAGAAAACTGGTTCTCTTGAAAAATTTGAAAATTTCCCTTGAATCTATTTTCATTCAACCAAGTGCAAGTTACTTTGTTTTAAGATAATAAGAAAAATACGCTAGGAAGTACTTCATTCAAGAAACATGGTCATTTTTTCAATAGCTAAATACTCTTTTGATGAAAAATAATAACGAGACGCAAAGACGATGACGAAGGACGGTATATACATATACAATCAGTCGGCAGTTCGATCAGTCGTACGCAGTGTTGTTACAATAGGTACAATTGTACTATTTTGGGTACATTTGATAGTCAAGGAGTACATAGGTACAATTGCAAGAAAAAATGTACAATTCTTACTTCTCAAACCCAAACTAACCCAAACTTAAACCCATGTACATATTTTTAGACTTTAGACGAACGGTGATATGCGATGCGTGAATTTGAAATGCAGAGGCACAGAATTATACATCACTTGAAATGCTGTTCAAGCCGCACGGATGTCAAACGTAAGTTTGATATCCATGCGGTGAGTAGGAGGGGAGCTAATCACTGCGACCTTAGAGATCTATTGTGTTCCAATGTCAAACGTGACGTCACACAATTAGTTCCCATTTAACCAATGCTATTCAAAGCTCTTTGTAGTTTCTGTATTGCTGTCCTCCATTTGCGAATTTCAAGTTCCAGAGCTTTACGCCCTGGGCTGCTCAGAACGGTTCTGAAAGGAGCTGTGCGAGATAGCCTGGTTCGCTATGGCGCGGAACCAGTTCTGAACTTTATGACTCAATTGAATGGAGGGAGAGTATCGCGTTCTTGAACAGTTCAGAGCTGCTCAACTGCGTGAAAGGAGGACAGCATATGGTGTATAATTCTGTGAGGGTGCATCCACATTATCCTATAAAAAGCGGATCGGCGGCGGTGTATCGGCGTAACGACCTTGAATCGATTTCCAGCAATTCTATTGGCTGAAAAATTCATCTGTCAGAAATTTTATCTGTCAAATTCACCTGGCAAAAATTTCAGCCAATAGAATTGCAGGAAATCGATTCAAGGTCGTTAAGCCAATACGCCGTTCCGCTGTTTTTAGGATAGTGTGGATGCACCCTACGTACCAAAACTTGGTAAAAAGGTAAATAGAGAGATCACATGACCCCACATTTTTGCACCAAAAATGTACAATCCCACTTAAAAAAGTACAACTTCGACACCCTTTATAGTACAAAAAATTTTGCCCTTGTAACAACGCTGGTCGTACGTCGCATTTCATAGGTCGCACATCATAGTACGCACGGGTTTTGTTGCTTGGAATTTTCCACTTGGAATTTTGCACAATTTGCTTTTTAAACGCATATCGTATAACAAATGAGTGATCGTTATTAACATGCATTTGTCATTTTTTATGGACAAATTTTAGGATATATGGATTCTGTAAAGGAGTTTCTGAAAAAATGGAAATTAGAGCATTTATTTGCTATATTTGATGGTAAGAGACATTTACCTATGTACCTGTTTAGATAATGCATGCATGACTATAGATAGAATAAGAATATAGGTATTGATTTTTTTATGCAAATAATTACAAAAATTTTAGAATTTCAAGTCGTCGTATTAAAAAATTCAAAATGTGACCAAAGCTTATAATTTTAATAATTTATTTGCTTTACTTTGATTAATCGTGATGTAACATTTTTTTGTAATTTGTAGAGTGATGAACCACCCCAAAAAATACCAAGGAGTGAAGAAGCAGAAATAATATATATCGAGGAAAATAACTTCATAATCACTTTACTTACTACAGACCAGGAAAACCTAAATTTATCAGAAAATAATATACCTTGTAATATGCCTGTATATGCCTGTATATACTTCTCTTAGATCAAAATAAATTTTAGTTGAGTCAATAGTATTCGTTATTGGCTTAAGAAAAGTGTCTCTTTAATCAAGAAATGTCCCTTTTCAATCAAGAATTTTTGCATGAATCAAAGATACTATTGTTCTTGTAGCAAGAACTTCTTTGCATATTCATTTTGGGTCAAGAGTGAAATACTTTGGACTGATAGATTCTTCTATTCTCTAAAGTAATTTTTTAAAGCTTATGAAAAGATAGTTAATGCTTTGGGCAAAGAAACGTCGTTCTTGGCCCTATTGAAATGCGCCAATCTTTTGGGTCAAAGTCATATTCATTTCGACTGAGATACTTTTTTTCAGTGTATATATGTAGTTCAAAATAAGAACAAATCAATGATTTGTCGAGTTGTAACATACCATGAGAAAGGGCAACAAAGATATTGGCTACATATGGCCAAAAATGGCCCCAGGCGCAGTTTCTTGACATTAGAGGTCAAATTAACGAAATTGCTGATTTGGGAAAGTGGTTGCCTGGAGAGAAATTTAATGAGATTTAAACATCTCACACACTGGTTAAAGCTCTAGTATTTAATATTTTATAATAACTCCTAAATGACTATAACCACTTACAATTTTCCAATTGTAAAATTTTATTGATACGTTTTTTTTGTGTTCTGCAATGTCCATGTATGTTTTATTTGTAATTTTAATGACGTAATTTTTTTTTAATTATATGATGCTTGGTTAGATCTTTTATTATTTGTATAGTGGTTTGTATTCTGTTATCTATTACTTCTGTGAATATCTTGTAGGTTAGTGGTAGTAGGCTTATTGGTCTATAGTTTCTGATGTGTTCCTTGCTGCATTTCTTATGAATTAGAGCTATGTGAGCGCTATTCCAGTCTTGCGGTATATTTCGTCGGTACAGTGCCAAAACCATGAATGTGCAAAATTGGACAATTTGACCTATGTGCACCAAAATATTAACCAAGAAAGCTTTGTTCCTATGCCAAAGTCGCGAATCAGTTTCCGCGTCATAAATTATGGTGGGGGCAGATTTCCTAATTCACGTAAGTTAGTTTGCTTACGATCGTACAACAGCAAGGTAACGAATGTGCAAGTTTGGTGCTTTTGGCGTTGTAAAAATTTACACAATTAATTCGGAAGTGGTACTTTCGTGAATTCGGCTTTGTGAACATTGGCAAGAATAACCTGAATGTAACAGTTTCGTGTATTTGGCTTTGTGAATCGTACTACTACTTCCCTGAATGTGACAGTTTAGTGTTTTTATCTGTGCATACCTTACCTACAAATAATCTGAATGTGACACTTTCGTAATTTTGTCATTTTGAAGGTTAATGTAAATATACGCAATGTGACATTTTCCCGATTTTGTCTCAAGGAAACTTACAACCTACTATTGGCTTTAGATCTTGTAAAACTGAGAGTGATACAAAACACAGTTTTTTGTTACGATACGTCATCTTTTCTTGCGCTTAAAATTAGTGAATACTATAGTTTTGGAGAATGACATCCAGAACAAAAAGGATATTGGAATTGGCTAGCCAATCAAAGAGTACAAATGGCACTTCTAATAAAATGAAAAAGGTAAAATATACAATATTTATTTATTTTTACTTAAATTAAATTTGTTTTTTACAGTTTAGTGAAGGTGCGTCTACTTATTACGTAATACGAGTAGATAGTGTAATAATAAACTTTTCAAATCAATATTATCTTTATTTTTGATTTTTTTTTAGATAATATCTCAAAAACTACGGAGGTCATTTCTAACACAAAAAATAAGGTAAAACATACACTTAGACATTTTTTTTCACCTCAATTAATTTTTTTTACAGTTAAGTGAAGTTGCGTCAGTATCTGACACTACCTATCTTTCTAAAAATATTCCAGGTAATAGAGTGTAATAACAAACTTGTCAAATCAATATTACTTTGATTTTTTTTAGAAAATGTCGCGGATACTACGGAGGATACTTCTAACAAAACCAATGAGGTAAAACATACACTTAGTAATTTCATTTTTTTTATTTTAATTAATTTTGATTTTTACAGCCCAGTGAAGCTTCGCCAGTATTTAACACGACTTATGCAACCGAAAATAAGTCAGGTAATAGGTAGTGTAATGAAGAATCTTTCAAATCAATATTAGTTTGATTTTTTTAGATAATGTCAACGTTAATGATATCAGTGATGAGCTCAACAAAAATAATCAGCCCTCTAAAATGGAACAAAACACCAATGTTATACCGTCCGTTATAGCACAAGGTACTAGCTATTGAATTTTACCAAATAAATATCGGTCAGCAGTTAAAATAACATTAAAAATTCTCAAACTTTTTTTAGGTGAAATCCAATGCGATGATGTGGAAAATCTTCCTATTGAAATTGAACCATTAATCTCTAGAAAGCCACAACAATTTTTAACATTTGTAGATAATGCGTCTTCATCAGATAATTACGACCCAGAAGAGAGTTCTGATAGTTCCAGCTGTTCTTCGAGTTGCTCGGCGTGTTTGACCTCTTCAACTTCTGCAGATTCTACTATTGAAAACCGACAAATAAATCAACCCGGTAAGTCTCAGAAATATGTAGAAGTTAATTTCTCAAGTATATTGTTTATTTTTAAGGGCATCCCTTAAAAAAGACAAGAAAGGAGTCGATGTGGAAGAAAAATATAAGAAAGGACAAAAGACGCAGAGGCGAGTCATACATCGGCGCAAAAAACATAACGAAAGCCGCACGTCCTTTATTACCACCACCATGTTTCGTAAAACCAAACCATAAATGCATTGCATTTGTAAAAGAAGAAAACCGTCAAGAAATTTATAACCAGTTTCGAAAACTGCCATCCCTAGATGATCAAAGAGTTTTCGTTATAAATCACGTCGAACAACGGTTTAAGAGCAGAGTAACAAGAAACATCGAAAATTCTAGAAGAAGTTTTACTTATGAGTATACGTTCACTGTTGATGGCCAGAAAATAAAAGTCTGTCGTGAGTTCTTTATGGCTACTCTGAATGTCACTGATTCATTTATACGCACAGCATGTCAAAAACGATCTTCTAATGGGGTGATTAGGGGTGATTTGCGTGGTAAACACGCTCCATTTAACAAACTCTCAAAAACAGAGATCAGGATGATAAATTGATTCGGGATCACATTCTGTCATTCCCGGCAGTAGAGTCACACTATTGTAGATCGTCTACACAAAAAAAGTATTTGGATGCCACTCTAAATATTTCAATTATGCACAGATTGTATAAAACTATGTGCATGGAAAAAAAAATAAAACCAGTTTGCTTAGAGAAATATAGACATATTTTTAGTGAATACAATTTAGGATTCTTCCGCCCAAAAAAGGATCAATGCAAACAATGTTTAGCCCAAACGAACATGACAGAATTTGAGAAAAAAGAACATGAAAATAATTTCCAACAACACTTGACGCGAAAAACACTAGCCCGTAAAGCTCGCGACAATGACAAACAAACAGCAAAAGAAAATCCAGAAGTACTGTCTTTTAATTTTGATCTCGAGTCTGTACTTACTACGCCCAAAGGTCCAGCTGGCCAAATATTCTATTTAAGAAAGTTAGCAATCTACAACTTAACAATCTATGACTTAGCAAATCAAGATGTAGATTGTTACCTGTGGGAGGAAACTCAGGGGAAAAGAGGCGCAGTCGAAATAGCTTCTTGCGTTCGTGATTACTTGCTAGCCCATCCCAACATCAAAGAAGTTCGAATGATGTCTGATGGATGTGGGGGCCAACAAAAAAATTCGATATTTGCTGCTATGTGCCTTGAGGTTTTCTCAGTTCACCGTAATTTGGTTCAAATTGATCATAAATTTTTTGAGACCGGCCACACAGAGATGGAGTGCGACTCTATACATTCAAAAATTGAATAAAAATCAAAATATGTACCTGTATATTCTTCTGAAGGCTGGGCGCAAATCATCAGAAGCGCTCGTGTAAAACCACGACCTTTTGTAGTAAAACAATTAACACATGGTGATTTTTTAGACTTCAAAACATTTGGCCTTCAATCATTTAAATTGAGCCAAATTTCCTGGCGAAAAGTGTGTTGGATTCGCTATCTCAAAGCCGATCAAACAAAAATACTTTACAAATTTAATTATAATGACGAATTCGAAGTGGCAAGTATAACTAAGTCTAAAGGAAGACCAAAAAAGGTACTGTTAAATAAAGCTTACAGCGATGAGTTACCAATTAATGCTGCGAAGTTTAAAGACCTACAGAAAATGTGTAGCGATCTAACCATACCAAAAAATTATCATCCATTTTATAATTCACTGAAGGTCAGTGATAAAGTCAGAGACAGATTACCTGAACCTGATGATGATGAAGAACGTGTAAATAGCGATGAAGAGGAAGATTGTTAGGAACCACCTTTTAAGTTAAAACTCGGTATTTTTGACGTTTTTGACTGATTTTTGTTATAATAGTTATATTAATATTATCATAATTAAACAATTTAAAAAATGTTTTTGTTAATTTTCTTAAACCTAGACTAACTACTTTCGTATACATTGATTTTAACGGTGCACTGCCAAAAAAATTAATATATTTTTTTAAGAACTAGGTACGCGAGTACCGTGAATGTGACACATTCGAATTTTTGGCATTGCAATAGGAACATAAGCTAATCTGAATGTGGTACGTTCGCTACTTTGGTTTTGTAAAAATAAGAACTGAATTCACGAATGTGATATTTTCAAAAAATTTGACTAAAAAGAAAAAAAAATAACAGGCAGGTTTTGAACAGTTTAAGTATAACCTATAAGTATAAAAAAATAAGATAGATACGCCCAAAAACTGATTTTTCACAGCAAATTGAAAGTTTAAAACGCTAATATTTCAGAATCATGATTTTGCACATTCATGGTATTGGCACTGGACCGACGATATGTTTTTTTCCTGAAACAGCTGGTGTATATATTTGCTAGGATTCTCCTACCTATAAGGTAGGTTAAGTTCTCCTACCTATAAGTGTAATGTATTAAATTAATGAATTTAATTTAATTTAAAGTTTATGTCCTTCTCTTTAGGACAGTTCCGAACTTTTTTCAATGCTTTAACACCAAATTTTCCAAAATAAAGTTTAATATTCATCCCTGAATGATTTTGATATATTACTATCAATCATGACAGTCATAAAAATAATGTCTGGTCTAAAAAAGAATGATTATTTAAAAAAAACGTATTTTCATTTCCATGTCACGCAGTACACACCAGCTGTACCATTTCATTCATCTAATCCAGCGAAATAACATTGAAATTTTCTAAATTGACACGATTTATCAACATTTCCCTCCCCTCAACGTTATAAATCCTCCAAATTACACGCTATTCCCATAAACGTATTTCCATCATTTCCACGCACATTTCCACACACATAACTCCTCTCCAGACTAATATGAAATTCTTATCGAGTTCTCGAACCAACTTAATGCGATATGTTGATATTTACCTACGTGACATTCCACAGGCAAGATTTTTCCGACTTTCCCGTGGAAAAGTTCTTATAAATGACGAGGTAGGAAAATATTTTTGTAAATGGGGAGATGTTTACAGCTTCATAATGTAGATTTATAAGAATTATTACGATTTTACGGCACTATATAATACTATATCCAGTGACTCACGCACCATTAAATCTTGGTGCGATTCTATTCTAATCTCCTATGCCTCAACCTATCAAAAACTAAAGTTTTGTCATATAAAAGTACTATACAACCTTTTGTATTTAATAACACCACTTATGACGTCGTGGACTCTGTGAAATTCTTAGGACTTGTAGACATGCAACTCGTTAAAATGGTACTTGCACATCGAAACTTTATCAAAGAAACTAAGTTGCTTATTTTGCGCTAAGATCAGTTTCTAAGGAACTTATCAACCTCTAGAATAGTCTATTATGCCCTTTTTGAGTCGCATCTTCGTTATGCCCTTCCATTCTGGGGTACTCACTGCGCGACAAAATTTGATCGTATTTTTAAACTTCAAACGAGAGCAGTTCGATATTTATTGGGACTGAACAGTAGAACTCACTGCCAGAATTTCTTTAAAAATTTCAAAATACTGACTCTTCCTTTATTCATTTTTGAATCCGTTTGCTTAATTCGCAAGCACATATATCTGCTATTCCCGAAAGGCCACCTCACAACTGCGGAGCACGATCTTTATCTGCCTACCCCGAGCTCAGAACTAGTTAAAGGCTCAAAAAGTACAAAAAGTACGCTTTCATTCTTTCCCGCATTTCACAAAGCTCTGAAATCATACTTACTGGAGAAAGCCCTATATGCGGTAAACGACTTTTTTGTTGATATTTAATATTGAACAATTTTGAATTTTAAAATTTTGATCATCTCAAACACTGGTTAAAGATCTAGTATTTAATATTTTATAATAACTCTTAAATTATTATAACCATTTACAATTTTGCAATTGTAAAATTTTATTGATACGTTTTTTTGTTGTGTTCTGCAATGTCTATGTATGTTCTATTTGTAATTTTAATGACGTAATTTTTTTAATTGTATGATGCTTGGTTAGATCTTTTATTATTTGTATATTTTTTGTGCTTTTGTTTGTTCTTTAAATGCTTTGTCGATGAAGCTATTTTGGCTTATTGTACAATAAAACGTTATTTATTATTATATATACAGTGTCACAGATAAAGTCCGCATCATATGAGATTTATGAATTGATTTAGGTAAAATTTGTTGTTGGCTTTAATTTTGCTTCGAAAGAGATTAAAAATGATATAATAAAAGTTAACAATCAGTAACATAGACCTAGAATCGTTCAAAATTGGGAGAGTTGCGAGATATCTGTAATAATGCTCTTTTTTTTCCTCAATATCCGGGCCGTCCTATAGCAGATACACTGTGACCTGTAAGGCCGATTATGTTTGTCACTTTTTTATGTCTGCATCCAGTCTCATTGCCTTGCACCAGCATGAACATATCCTTGACAGGATGGGAGTGTAGTTCCTTTAGTTCTAGCCCAAATAGAAAGTGTCGCTTGCCAGTACAATACTTTCTTGATACAGGTTGAGCTTGTTCAGGTACCCTTAATCCCAGTAGCCCACTATGGTGTTAGTTAACCATAAATAAGATTCTAGCTTATTCCCTCAAACCTCAAAAGAAGGTTAAATACATGGGGGTTTGGTTCGACTCGGGCATGCGAATGACTTCACACGTGACAGAAATCAGGGATAAAACGACTGCCATCATCCAGCATCTGACAAGAATAACTCCCAATATCGGAGGATCTCGCGCGGAAAAAAGAAGACTTCTCGCTTCGGTAGTTCATTCGACCATACTCTACGCATCGCCGATCTGGGACAGATCCATGCGCTTCAAGCATTACGAAAACATGCTAGAAAGGATAAACTAGTAAAAACAGTAGCGGTACTGTGTCTTGCTAAGATACATCCAGTCAGTCTACTGATCCAGGAAAGAAATCAAATATATAAAAATGGAACTTCCTTCCGGAAAGAAGCCAGAATCATGGTACTAGAGCAATAGCAGACACGATGGGAAGCATATAGCGTATGGACAAAGACTTTCATACCCAATATTAAAGATTGGATAAAATGCGACCAATCAAACAAGGACTACTACATCACGCAAGCCATGACTGGCCATGGAGTATTTGGCGGGTATCTGCACAGGATCCACAAGGCTGACTCTCCTAAATGCTGGTATTGCGTGTCAGACTCGGCTAACCACACACTATTTGAGTGTCACGCGCACGAAGATTTACGGGAAAACGCAGTAACAGTGTGTGGTACGAAGATTACTAGAGTAAACGTCGGAAACCTTCTAACATCATCGAATGAAAATATCAAAGCGATTTGCGGCATGTTAACGAACATTATGAAGAAAAAAGCGAAGGACGAAAAAGACAAGATCTGGGTACAGACAAGACCAACATAGAAGAATGATAAGTCTCTAATCTTGATGAAATGCTTTCGGCGGTACCGAGATTGGCGATCTTAGAGCACAGATGGGTTTTTAGTGGGTAGGCCCTCTCGCATGAGGGAGATCCCCACACTCCGGCCCTAAAGGCGTTTCCCATCTATAAAAAAAGCTTATTCCCTCATCTTTAGTAGGTATCGATCTACAAAAAGGTACCACCTTCATCATTTTCAGCTTATTCAACCAATTCCAATTAGTAGTGTATTAATACACCATGTATCATAACAGTCTAGATATAAGTATTTCTTAAGTAACTTAATTAAGGACAATATATATGCGAACCAAATAAAAACATTACAAATTATACTATAGCCTCCCTCACATACTCTCTTTGTAAATGGGCGCATTGTTGTCCATTGTTGGCTATGCGGGATGCGGGCCCAAGTTATCCCTGCTAATTTCCTAATATCATAGTCCCATCTCAGGTTTGGTCTTCCTCTAGGTCTCTTAATTCCTCGTGGGTACCATGGTGTAATTTTTGTGGTCCATCTGTTGTCCGTCCTTCTTGCCAGGTGTCCTGCCCATTGCCATTTGAGGGATTTCACTCTGTGAATGACATCTGTTAACTGGGTCTTTTGTCGTATCCACTCTATACTTTTACGGTCTCTCTTGGTTATTCATAGCATATTTCGTTCCACTGAGGGTTGTGCGACCTGCTTTTGAAGTTTCGCATGCATAGGTCATGACTGGTAGTACACATTGGTGGAATGTTTTCTTCTTTAGATAGAGTGGCATACTAGATTTGAATATGATTGAGTTTCTTCCATAAGTAATAAATAAAATTAAGTACTAAAATACTACTTAATTCTTCTGTTGATTTCTGGTAGTAAAGATACCGAGCTGTGTATTAGTTGTCCCAAATATATATATTCTTCTACTATCTCCAGTGTTGTGTTATTTAATAGAATGTCTTTTCTTTCCACCAGTTCGTTGTACATTACTTTAGTTTTTGCTAAATTCATTTTGACACCCACTTTATTGCTGGCTATATTTAGTTCAATAATTTGTGCTTGTAGTTCTCCATGAATATTGGCAATTGGGATTATGTCATCCGCGATTCTTAGATGGTTAAGATAGCAAAATAAAAACACTAAATCACCACAATACACCAAAACATTTTTACCTTTACACTGGACGCGCGTTTCGCTAACCATGTTAGCATCATCAATAGATGATTATAAACTAGTTTGATTATAAACTAGTTTATAATCATCTGCTGATGATGCTAACATGGTTAGCGAAACGCGCGTCCAGTGTAAAAGTAAAAGTGTTATGGTGTATTGTGGTGATTTAGTGTTTTTATTTTGCTGTGTAACACCAAAGGTTCCAACCCTCAACTGTAATCTTTGGTTAAGATATTCTCCATCTACTTTTAATCCTTTGTTGGTCCAGTCCAGTTGACGGAAGATTTCTTCTAATCTTGCTGTAAACAGC